TACTCACCTTAACTCAACATGAAAGCAACAATTAAAGATGCGAGATGTATAAAGCTTTTAAAATAGTAGATAATAACTCAATGTATATAAAAATATAATAATAAACTCTTTACTCTTATTTGGGAGATTCTCTAACCGACAACCATCACTATGAGCAACGTGATTATACAACGTCTCGCCCACACTGCCAGAACTGTCCTATACCTTGCCGGAGTATATAACATCCTCAACTAAGTGGATCCACTAAACTGCTTAAAAGCAATAAGAAATCATCTAAAAAGTATGATCCTTTACCTATGTTGGCATACACGATTTATGAGGATTTTGAGTTGTCTGAACTCATCCACATATAAGTGCTCAATACTACTCCCAATAATATATAACTCATGCTCATATGTTTTAAAATATAACTCTTCCTTATTTTGAGATAATTACTCAAAACGCTTTCTTAAAAGAGATACTGCTAAAAAACTCTTCATGAACTCGTTTAGAAATCAAGGTTTCCTTTGGTTTTAAATGTAAAAGTGTTTACACTTGGAAATACTTAGTTCCCTTATACTCATTTTGAAACATAAAACTCAAGTCTACTCATCCTCTTACACATTCACTCAAGTCTTAAAACAAGTTTTAGAAGATCGCAAAAGACTTCTCAAAATGACTCAAAAGACTTTCTTGAACTTTCCTCTTAACTTTACTTTAGTTTGAAATGTAAATTAAGAAATGTTTTTAAGATATGCATGATTTTTCAGGGAGAGAACATAGGTACGTTTCGAGGGAACACATACGAAAAGAAGGTCGGAAGGGTAAGGGACCTAGCGACCCTGGCTCACTAAGTGGCGCGGGGGGCCAACCCTAAAACTACTGAACAGTGTTTGGGGCGCATTGAGTGGCGTTGGGTGCCAACCCTAAAATTATTGAACATTGTTTGGGGCGCACTGATTGGCGTGCCATGTCAGGCCCCAAACTACTGGGCAGTAGTTTTGGAGCTACGTGGTGCGCCACCCTAAGCCCTTTCCCAGAAATTTGACAAATTTTCTTGCTCAATTTCATGTCCTAACTCATCTAGAATGGAATGATATCCTTCCAAATTCGTTTGGATTCATAAACCCAACAAAGTTCATCGAAAACCCACTCAAATCCATCAATAACAACACTCATTCGCAAGACCCTCACCTCAAGAACTCAACAAGATTCAATTGTCAAAGAATGAAGCTAAAACTTCAAGAATTCAAATCAACCAACCTCAAGAACAAATTTATGGATGAAATCACATGATTGGCGTAAGGCTGAACAAACCCAACACTATGAGAGCTTACATACCTCGAAAGAACTAAGTTCTTGGAGAAAATCTTCAAAGCTTGGTAGAACTTCCTGAAACGTTCTTCTTTTTCTCCTCTTGAACTTCTCTCTAAAAACCCTACGTTCTTTTGGAATGACTAAAACTGATCCTAATCAGATTCCTAAAAGGGTAAAAAGAAAACGTGTTAGGCTAGTGGGGTAAGGAAAAGACCAAAATACCTCTCCTTAAAATGGATGAATTCCTTAACTAGACAGACTGTACTCAAACAGACATATCTCTTTCATCCAAACTCAGAATTTAGCAAACTCGCGGCATTGGAAAGAGGACTCAACAACCTTCGATTTGATACCTCATGGGCCACCTAACTCATCTTGTGCTAAAAGTTATAGTCATTTGAAGTTGACCCAAAACTTAAAAAGGGACCAAAGTTCAAGGTGTTACAGAACGAAATTGGGAGTGGGAGGAGAGAGGCGAGCGAGATTGAGAGATGGAGGAGAGAGGTGAGCGAGAGAGGGAAGAGAGTGGAGAGAGACGAACAATAGATGTATATCTGTTAGATAATTGTATATATGTAACTGGTATACATATGTATTTGTATATCTGGCGAGCGAGATTGGGAAAGGGAGGAGAGAGGCAAGAGAGATTGGGAGAGGAAGAAGAGAGGCAAGAGAGAGAGGGCAGAGAGTGGAGAGAGGCTAATTGTATTTGTATATCTGTCATATATTTGTATACTTATATGTATAATTTGTATTTATATATGTATAAAATAGGTGAGAGGCGGGAGAGAGGAGAGAGATGACGTAATTACAACTAAAATTAAACTGCGAGCCATAATTAATTCAAACTATAGCCATGTTAGCAAATTAACTAATATATATTTGCTTATCCGCGTAATTTTCCCTAAAAAGAATAGAATAAAGTGCAAATCATTAAATAGATGATACATTAGGTGCAAAATCCAATGAACTCAAAACAGTCTTTTATAGCTCTATATACTTTCCGTTTTAATTGTTTTTGTCTTATTTTTCTTTTTGAATCATTTATAAAAAGAATTTCTCTTTTCTTATTTTTTGCAATTCTTTAATTTCATTTTCCCACATAACATGTTTAAACCATAAGATTAAAGGATATTTTAGTATATTTAACATATCTTTAATTTAAGAAAACAAGATTCAAAAGTCTTTTTTTTTCTTTCATAAACTCTGTGTCAAGTTAAAGTAAGACTAACAAATTGAAATAAAAAAATAATAAGTATTCATTAAAACAAGATTATTTGTTATTGTTGTTGGGAGACAAAAACACTTATTTTGAGAAAAAATATTTTTTGAAAAATTAAGGTGTTTGACCTATTAGTAAAGCTGCTTTTAGTTGGAAGCAGGAGCAATTTTTCTACTGTTTGAAAAAAGTTAAAAATTTCTACTTATTTAAAAAAAAGCAAAAGCAGAAGCAATTTTTTTTCAAGACCAAACTATCCTTCACATAAATACATATTTACCAATATATCCCTTATAATTATTTATTTTGTGGTAAATTTTCGTAAGTAGTGATTGAATTTGTAGAATAGTTTTAAAATTTATTTTGCTTCATATTTTTAATAATATTTAAGTTATTGTGTTAATATTGTATCAATCTTTAGTCTTTATTTATTTATCTATGTATAATATTGATTGAAAATTTGAATTTGTACATATTAATTTAATAAAAATTAAAAATTAATTAATTTTTTTAACAATAGATATCTAAAATAACTTCTCTATATAAATAATCTTAATGTCAAAAGTGCATTGATACTTGTCATTTTTGTAATTTGACTTTCGAAAACACTTTTCAAAAATGATAAGTCAAACACAATCTGCTTATCAAAAACACTTTTCAAATGAATTAGTCAAACACAATTTTTTTTCAAAAGAACTTTTCTAATAAGTTATTTTAAGAATGTGCTTATGAAATAAGCTATTTTTAACCGAAATGCCAAAAGGCTCAGGTGCAGAACTACAAAAATTGCTTTTGTATTTTCACTATTATAATTTATTTTTAAAAACAAATTTTAAATGAAAATTGAGTCCCGAAATTTAGTAGTTTCAGTTTATGATTTTATTTTTTCTTAAAAAATATTAAAATTTGAGAAAAAAAAAAGGTTTTACTATAAAAAAGAAGAAGAGAGAATGATTTTCTATTTCTTTTAGACTAGAGATATTATATAACTTTGAATTAAACTATTCATATCTTCATATTAGCATATAATATTTTTTGTAGTAACATCTAATGTAATATAATTGGAACATATGACTAATATCTCAATAATTTGAATTATGTTCTATAATATAAATAATAATAGCAATAGTACTAAATAATATAGCTAGGTTAAATATGATATCCTTATTTTCGCACATATACTATCTTTGCTTTTACTAGTTGCCTTTCTGGTTGTTTATTTTGGTTATCCTTTCTTCTTCCTAGTATACAACAACAAAACGATATTCATCCACTTAGTGGTTAGGGGTAGTCAAACTAACTATAATTGATCTTTTGATATTTGTTTGTAAGTATTATGTATTATACGATACACATGGTTCATATCAAAGAAATTGAACGAAGTGCATAATAAAGTGACCTATCACCTAAAAATTTTACTTACCAAATTTACGCCCAATATGGTAGCTCATTTACCAAAAAGCATACTACCAATAACAAATAAATCCTCGTTCAAACTCTTATATCACATTAATCTTACATTAGAAAAAAATAATCAATAATACTGTGATAATAGTGTATTGAATCCATAATACCCTCGTTTGTTAATGTCCATTGTCTTGTAATGCCCTTATTATAAGATTTTTTTTAAAATCTAAACTAATTAAATTCTAACCCAAACATGGAGTTGAATGATCCCGAGATAAGAGTTGGTTGTACTAAGATCAAGTTCAGTATGATTCTCGGCAAAAGATAGTATAGTCTGATGCAATACTTGCACATCACACATCTTTGGTATAATATTATAGTATAATTTTATATATGTGGTATAATACTTTATGTTCTGATGTACATTTTTGAAAATTTCCTTTTAAAAAATGAGCCTTATTAACTTGATTGATCTTGTCAATACTACTGATCATTGAAGTCTAAGAATACTTGAAGTTTTTCTAATGAATTAACCGACTAGTTCTGTCTAGTGACAAAAGCTTTATTTGAGTACAATAGATTTGTTGAAATAATGGTTGTAGATTCATCGAATGGTAATTTACAAGAGAATTATGAATAACAACTAGTAGTGCTCGAAAAGGGAATTTGTTTATTTGTTGATGCAGGGTTACAAGTTGAATAAAAAAAAGGCAAGTATTGGTTTGGTTGCTATGGATAGCAAGGGTATTTTGCTTCGTGCTCATGGATCGCCAATTCACTTCGTTGGGAGCTTTATGATTGTTGAAGCGTTTGCAATAAGAAAAGTTGTGGAAAAAGCGATAAAAAATGGATGGGAACACTCTATGTCTTCTCTGACGCGCAAGTGTAGTGGATATATTGAAGACAAATGTTAAGGCTACCCGAGGTATAAATATAGCTTGTAAAGATATTTGGAACAATATGTCGGCATATTTAGACAATAATTTTAACCAAAAAATCCTTGGAAAATCATAAATTAGTACTCCATCATGTTTTATTTATATACAACAAAAAGCACATTGAACTCTGTCTACTAGAACTAGAAAGTAAGATTATACTTTTGAGTTTTATCAGGATAAAACACTCCAAAATGCTTCTCATTTTCATCAAACATAGCAAACAGATAAGTTTCTATAGGTTTTCCTGGCTTGTGTATAGTTCCTGCTTTTGACTTCGCATGACCAATCAAATTCCTATAATAAATAGTAGCAATACCCATGCTTCCTCCAAAACCACCCTCAGATGGCCATCCACTTTCAGAAACAACAATCTCAACCTTATTTTCACCAATAGCTTTCTCAATTGCATAGTAAATTGAATCCAACATAGCATCAAACAGATTAGTATACCCTGATGAATCGGGTTCTGGTTGCGCAAATATTGCATAAGAGAGTGAAACATGATCAGGATCACCAATATAAGCAAAATACGGATAAATATTTGCTAGCAAAGGCGCGCTGTTCTGTTTCAAGAACTCAATAATTGGTTTGATGAAACTAGTCACATCTCCGCGAAATGTTGATTGAGATGGTGGATATGTATTCGCCAATAGCCCCGTCTCTATAGCTGTTGATATTTTTACACGATCGTTTAGTCTGAACGAGGTTATGACTCGTTGCACATTTTCCATGGCTGGGAGAAGGAAGGGAACAAATTGAGATGATCCAGCAATGAGAGGAGATATTTCATTTCCAACACTTATATATCTTATTCTGACTTGTTTGATATAATTTATAACATTGGCAACAACCCAATTGTAAGCTTCTTTTGGATCTGTTAAGGCTTGAAGTTTGTCATTAGGAATGCAAAGCATGATTTGAATGTTACTATCCTTGAGAGCATTGAGTGTTTCAGGAATTGGATCATACACTCTCATGCTTGTTATGCCATTAGCTTTATAAAGATTTACAACATCTTCAGCTAATGGTAAGTTGTTTCCATTTCTCCCATAACACACTCCAACACATTGTACCTCTGCATTGCCAAAAAAAGAGAGTTATTGTAGGATCACATACCATAAATACTACTCCCTCTCTCTGACTCAATTTATGTGGCACAAGTCAAATTTCAAAATATTTAAACTTTGATCGTGAATTCAAATATAGAATGTTCGATCAAGCAAAATTTGGCTGGCTCTCAAAATTTCAACTTATTAGGATAGAGGGAGTAGTTGAAATCCTTTGAAAGATAAATTACTCTAAGCAATAAACATTCTTATACATGACTCCAACTACTCATATATATATTTCATAAAAAATATTGTTCACACCTTTAATTTAAAGACAGACTAAAAAGATAACATTTTCTCTCAAAACTTTTAAATAGTAATAATAAGAAGAAAATACCTTTTATTCCTAGGTATGAAATCATCACACAAGCAAATACAAACAAGGAAAAGTTAGCCATCATGAAGCAACAAGAACCAAATGAAATTAGACGGCAGGAAAATGACCAAATGATGGCTTTTTATATAGGAAAAAAAAACTAGAGTACCCCCTCTAATCCATATTAAGAAAAAATATTTAAGGACATAAACTAAATCATAATTTTCACTATTGTCTGCCCTTTGTGAAATCATAACTATAACTTTGTAAGTAGAATAATTTATCTCCTAGAAAATATAAAACTTCTATAAATGTAAAGGCAAAATATGGAAAAAATTCAAATAGTCATCTTGAACTTTGAACAATTCAATTATTTTCTACAATGAATTTTCTTTTCAAAAGTTGACTTAATATAGAATAGAGGAGTATAGTTTTGAAATAAATTGATGGATTAATTCTATTTTTTTTACTTTAGATTTAAAAGGTAATTGTTTAATGAGTATACATTAAGTATTTTGGAATAGATAAGAGTTTCCTTAGACCGTTTGAATTGACTTATTTTTAGGTACTTTTAAAATATTTGGATAAGATTAAAAAGTATTTTTAAATGCCCGTTTTAAAGTTAAAATAACAAAATTAGACCGTAGGAAAATGACCATATGATGGCTTCTTATATAAGAAAAAAAAGGCTAGAGTACTCCCTCTATTCCATATTAACTGAATTTGTGAGGCTATGCACACTTTTTTTTAAGTAACAAGAGGACCCGTCGGGATGACAAACAACTACCTCTTAATGTATCCTCAGAAAGCCTCAGAAATAGATGAAGGAGAAAGGTCACACACGGTCGGGCTCGAAACCTCCACAAGAGTAGAAGCAAAGGGTGAGTACCAAACAACACGGTACTCAACAAGCAACCATTAAACAAAGTAAAACTAGGCTAGAATACAAGTACTCTTTCATCTCAACCGAACCATCTCAACTAAAACCTGCATAAAAATCAGCTCAACCTAACAGTTTTACAATACACAACTCACAAGGCTTAACAATCACAGTCTAACTGTCATAGTTCAACAACCAACAAGTATCAAGTATGTCAATCACAAGTATCAAGTAGCTCAATCACAATTATCAAGTAGATCAATTACAAATATCAAGTAGATCAATAACAAGGATTAAGTAGATCAATCTCAAGTATCAAGTCCATCAAATCACAATAGTCAAGCACTTGTCGGAACAATTTCCCATCTGCACAATATTACTAGCAGATACTATTTCCTTTCGGCACAATATCACTGGCTAGAAATATTTCACTTCGACTTTATATGAAATCACTTGTCAGAATCATTTCTCCGCGAGATAACCATAACATATCTCATTACAGTGCATAGAAATCAATGCAAATAAGCAATTCCACATCATAAGGAAGAGACAATAACTCAAGAAATTCAAGTCCACAATAATGTCATCAAAGCATTTCATTAATAAACAAATTAGGGTCCACAACAAGGAAATTCAAAAAGCACAACTATCAACATGTTGCCCTTTTCATTTATTCCCCCTTTTTATTCATTAAGATCAATCAAGTGAGAAATTGAACCAATCACCTCATTCCCATTACTCACTAACACATACAATGAAGGGAAATACAAGATTCTACAAGTTTTACAAAATTTAGAAGTTCACTTGCCTTAATTCAATCAAAAGCCAATTTTTAAAAAATATTTTGCCCAAGTATAAAAAAGGCTCATCACGATTGCGATGACCAAAAGCTCGCGACCGCTTTGAGTTATAAAGGTCAACTCACTTATGTTAACCATTGAGATCGCGACTTGACTTCACGCGATTGCAATGCACACAGAAAATGCTTCACGCGATTACGAGAGAAGACCATGCAAGTGTCACTCCCCGAGCCTACACCCTGGACGTGGTTGGCACTCCAAGACCATTGATGGCCTCAAGCGAACCCTTGGCCTGGCTTACTCACTTAGCGGAAAACTCTAAACATTATTACAATGATCAAATGAACTTACTCAAATAGCTTGGTAAAATAACTTGGAATGTTTTAAAGGTCAACATTCAACTTGGCCATAATGGCAACTCAAGTCTTAACATATGAAATGAAATGTAAGGATAACTGAACTACTATCTGTCTATGAAGCCTCTAAAACAAAGAGGGATGTTGAGACAAGACCCCAATCATCCTAACAATGAAATACTGAAAGTGAAATACAAGGAGTCCTCCGGAATGCAAAAAGGCTCACCAACAGACTATGAACTGCTCACTGGATCAACGATGTGCTGGATGCCAATCCTAGTTACCTGCGTCTGCATCATAAGACGATGCAGGCCAACTGGCATCAGTACATTAAATGTACGAGTATGTGAGTTGGAATGCTAAACACAACTTAAGCTTGAAAAGAAACTGAAAGGAAACTGAAGAACTTACCTGGCTCAACTCAACTCAACAAAAAGAACTCATTTCAATATAAAACAGTTTTAAAACAAGTGCAATATAAAGAAAAACGGTTTAAAACATGATGCCAACTCTATGTGTATGCAAAGATACATGTAACTCTGAGATGTATGTAAAAATACAAATAAACTGATGTATATAACAATACAAAATATTGTTGTGAGAGTTTCTCTAACTGATAACTATCACTTAAGAGTTATAGTGATGATACAGTGTGTTACCTCACGTTTCCAAGGCATCTTATACCTTGCCAAGGGTATGGACCTGAACTACTAAGTGGATCCACTAGTCTATGCTAAAAAGCACTAAGGGTGCATCTAAAAAGTATGACTCTTTTCTACCCATGATGGCTACATGGTTTATGGGGGTTGTGGGTTCTTTGAACGCTCCCTCATATCGGTGCTCAATACTACTCCCAAATTATGATACTAGCTCTTTATGTTTAAAAACATACTTCTTTTGTGATTTGAGATTAGTGCTCAAAAACTTAGCTCAAAGGCTATCTTGGAAATCAAAGTTTCCCCTCTTGCTTCATTTAGAAAGCGATTACTCTTTTCTGAAAACTACCCTGGAGGCCCTTTGGAAATCGAGGTTTCCTTTCTTTGTTTAAATGTGAAAACATTTTAAACCTTTTGGGAATACATAGTCCCTATATACTTTTGAAGAAATGGACTTCACTCTTTACTCTTTACTCAACTTGAACTTTAAGTCTTAATACAAAGTTAAAACATTTATAAAAGACTTTTGAAAACTTTGAAGAACTTCCCTTGACTTTGACCTTAACTGCTCTTGACTTGACTCTTAACTGGTCCTTGAATTGAATTATGGATTCAAGGATTGTGATTTGTGATTGGAAAGATCTCATGATGTTTAGGAATGATTTTTGATAGCTAAACATGAGAAAAGACCAAATATCGATATCTGAGGGTGGGTCCGCGATGCGGAGAAGCTTTTAAATTTTAGCTTCGAAATTGAATTTTGAGGTAGAACGCTCCGTGGCCACTCCACGACGCTAAACGAAAATTCCCAGATCTGGGGAATGGCTCCGCGATGTGGAGGCAGTGCCAAATTTCGACCGACAAAATTTCTTCTTCGTTTTCCAGCTCTAAACCCTCTAAACTCCATGGGTTCTTTCACCAATTACTTAGAATTGATTAAATGTTCAAAGTACATCAGATTCTACTCAAAATCGAACCTAAAACTATAGATTCGGATCAATCAACTCCTCAACGAATTCAACGAAACAATAATTTAATGGAACTTCAACAAACCCATCAAGAACTCAATTTCTAAGCTTTCAAGAACTTAAATTCGCTGAAATAAATCATGATTGGCGCGTGGGAGAATTAACCCAATGTTATGTGATCTCACATACCTTGTAGGGATCACGCCCGATGAATCCACAAGCTAATCTCGACGATCTTGACGAATTTTGAACGTTCTTCTCCTTTCTCCTCTTCTTTTCTCTTCTCTCAAAACCCTAACTCTTTTGGTAAAAGTGTAAACTGATCTAATTCAGCTTATACCCCTAATTAATTACCAAAAATGAATTAAAATAAAAAGGGTAAGGAAAAGACCAAACTACCCCTTCAAAATTCGGATTGAACTTTCCTTATTCCAACAGCTCAACTTCCAAAGGGGATAACTCACTCATACGAACTCGGAATCGTGCAAACTCAGCGGCGTTAGAAAGATAATTCCAAGAGATTTCCAACCATATATACAAATACACATAAATCATCCTGATCTAGGATTTATGGCCGATTGAAGTTGACCAAAAACTCACTTTTCCTAACTTCAACAATTTTCCAGATTTTTCATTCTTTCCAAAAATGACTATTTCCAATTATTGGCTTCTTCCTATTTATTTCAATTTGCGAGATGTTACAACAAGTGTTCTTACTTGAATAATAAGGTTCTTACTTTAGGTTTTGATGTTTTGTATAATGTGAAGTTGTAAACTCAATCTCAAAGTCACTGTGAAGTGTGAATTGAAGGCTAAACGGCAAACGAAGTGTGTATGGCTATGTGTCCTTGATTGTTATGATGTCTTCTCTTTTATAGTTGGTCCTTGAATATTCTAGCCATTGTTCTTCTTCATAGATGCAGTGCTCTTCTAATCTTGAAATATATTCGTTATTATTCCTTAAGTTCCTAAATGCTTTACTTGGTTCAAAAATAAATTAATCTATTATTAAACTTTGGGTACATTTTGTTTAATAAAGTCTTGTGAAATAACTCTATACTTTTCTTCATATGGTAATTTAGATATTCATCAAATTCTTCTTCATCACATAAATCTATACCAAAGTAAATATTCTTCTATTAAACTATGTTGATTTGTAATCTTCAAAATTAATAGGTGAAACCTTAGACTTAACATTTATATCCAACAAAGACAATGATTTTATATCCTTGAAAATAAGTAAATTTTATTGATACAAAAGCAAATTTTAGTACTACTCTACTAGCTAGAACTAGAAACTAAGATTATACTTTTGTGTTTTATCAGGATGAAACACTCCAAAATGTTTCTCAGTCTCTGCACCTATCTTCAAATTTTCATCAAACATAGCAAATAAATAAGTTTCTATAGTTTTTCCTGGCCTGT